TCCCATTCGATAAATTGCAAAATATCAAATATTTAACTAAAGGTGGATGTTCAGAAATATATACGGCAGATTGGATTTATGGAAGTTATGAAAAATGGGATTCTATCAGAAAACAATTAATATGATATGGAAGCAATAGAATAATACTTAAAAGATTAGAAAATGTCGAAAGTGCTAATAGAAGTTGGTTTGAAGAGGTATGTAATTTTAAATGTATAAAATTAAAAAAAGAAAAGTAAGAAAGAAACTAATCAAACAAATTTTCATTGATAGGCTGAATCTCAATTAATATTAAGCAGCAAATAGGAAGACTTCGCTCAATCTTATGGCCTTACTCAAAATCCACAAAATAAAGATTATTTTCTTGTAATGTTCTTATTCAAAATGGATTTAAGAAAATATTTACAACATAATCATAACAAACTTACATGGAAACAAAGAATCAACATAATTGTAAACATAATCAAGGCAGTTTTATGTCTCCATCAAGAAAATTCTATTCATAGAGATTTGCATTCAGGAAATATATTATATTCTGAATATAATGAACAATGGCGTATTAGTGATTTTGGATTTTGTGGGCCTGATTATAAACCATTAGAAAGTATATATGGAAATCTTCCTTATATAGTGCCTGAAGTTATTAATGGAAAAGGATATACCTTTGCATCAGATATATATAGTATTGGTATGCTCATGTGTGAGATTTCATCTAGACAACCACCTTTTGCTTATTTTGACCATGATTATGATCTTGTGATGAAAATAATGAATGGAATGAGACCACAAATAATACAAAGAACTCCAACAGAATATAAAAATTTAATGGTTCAATGTTGGGATGCTGATCCATCAAAGAGACACGATATTAAAAATCTTAATGATAAAATTAAAAAAATACGAAAATCGTATTATCAAAATGAAAATAAAAAAAAATCTTTAATTTTTATAGTACACAATCAAATGCAAAACCTAATATAAGTTTAAACTCTAATAGTTCAATATATAGAACATTTAGTAAACTTTATAGTTTTAAGGATTTACCTGAACCAAGAAATGCCGCTATAGGTAATCTATTATATTTATATATAATGTTAATTATTAAATGAAATTTAAATTTTTTTTTTTAACTTACAAAAGAGCAAGAAGGTTGTTATTTTTTATTTGTTAAAATATTAAGTTTTAAATTTAATATTAATTTGATATTTCCTTTTTTATAAAAAAAAGCTTACGATATGCATTACAGTCTTAATATTTCAAATAGTAAGTTATACTTAACTTATCATAAGAAATTTATTAATTAATTTGACTACCATAAAAATTAAAAAAAAATTATACTGAACAGAACGTATCTACATCTAATAATACTTTATATAATTAATATTTACAGATATGAATATTAACAAATCTAAGAGCAATTCTTCAATGGTAATGAGTTATTTCGTTATTATTAAGCTTTTTAAATAATGACAATTAAACTTGTCATTATATTTTTTTTTTCTTTAATTAGAAAATCAAGAAGATTTTAAAAATTAAATCAAACAATGATAAAACTCATTAATGGCAACGGTAAATGATAATTTGTAAAGTTTAATTTTATTCTTAATATTTTTAAAACTGTAAATTGTTTATTTTAGGAATTAATGTAAGAAATTGATAAATCTAATTATATATTACTAAAATTATAATTTAATCATTATAATCTCATTAGATAGTGATGATATATAAGATCAAGATAATTTAGCAATTGCTAAAGATAAAATTAATTAATACAATTAATGATCAATTTAAGTATAAAACAAGGTAATTATTACAATGTTGAAATTACTGAAATACTAGAAGTTTTGAATCGATTATTCAAATAGTTCATATTTTCGTTTTTTATATTTACATATTTAACATAAGGTTATAGAGTAGTAATTATTGTATTTGCAATAAACCTTAAAATTAATAAACCAATTAATTACAGTATAGATAATAATTTAATATTTATAAAATAATACATCTTATTAACTAAGTAAACAAGAATTGTATTTATTAGTATGAAGATGAATGACATTATTAAGCGGAACATTTACTATCAAACTGTCTTCTTTTCCGGATTCTTTAATAACCATTTTATGAAAATTATTAGTTTGAGTTATCACAACATTAATAATCATACCGGCTCACCTTTGTATATCGACAATTATTTTTTATTTTCGAGGCTGATGTTTCGAATCTAATCGCAACTAACGCCCAAATAAATAATATAAAATTAAACTTATCCTAGCTAAGCTAAAAAATCGTTTGTTTTCTAATCCTTCTGTATTGATAACTGGATCTTGGCCGACATTATCTAACCCTAATCCCAACATTAATTTCTGGTCAACATTCCGTATCCACCTGGGTGGATTCGCAATCCACATAGATTCCATTCCTACCAACAACATATATATTACAGGGTGAAGATAATTGAGACGTAGTATTTTGGAGTATCACCAGCATTTACATTCTTTGAATATCGATTTTTTATTTAAGTAGTTTTAACTAAATAATTAATTTAATTTGGAAAATTAGTTCGCGGATATATGAAACACTTCGCTAGTATTTATAAATGCGAATAGTTACGTTCAAAGTCTGAAGAATACTAAAATACAAAGTATTTCAACCGTAATACTTCACAGAGCCGATAAAACATTCGGACTACGAAGTTTACTGGTAATACATTGTAATATTACTGAACTGTAATACTTGTACTTTGTTTAAAAAATTTTCTTGATGCATCTAAATTATTTAAACCAATATTATTTATAAAACGAAGTAATAAACAAACTTATTGGCAAAGAACAATTACTAAATTAAGATCACGAGAGGATTAAAAGATAAAATATACTTACTTTAATTATTTTAAAATTTTTTAACCGCAAAACGTTTTCTCATCATCTTGTCATTATTCTTTAATAAATTCAATTATTCTGCAAACTTTAACTTTTAAAGAATGTGTAGCATTAATTGATTTCGTTAAATGTCTTGTGTTCAATCACTTATTATTATCCTTTTGTAGTCATATTTGTATATAAAACATGCTAGATACTGTACTTCTTAAGATAATATATAGCTTTTATTTTGTAAAACAAGAGTATTTTTTAAAATTAACGAATTTGTGAAAATACAATGTGATCGTCTTGAATTTTGCATTTATATACGTTGAAAGACACATGTTTATTTTGTTTGACGATTCGTTCATGTATAATACAATTCCCGATTAAAAATTTATTGTCCGAAGCATAGCGGAGGACATTTTACTTCTAGGTCATTTAAATGCAAGGTCGTTCTGTACGGCAAACCTGATAGACCAATGACATTTTTTTACGTTATCACGTGTTATGTCTTATGTGTTACAAATAATTAATCATGTCATGTGAAATATGATATTATAATTTATATACCATGCTTCGGACTTTTAACAGATCCCGTTCACTAGTTTATCTATAAATGGTATGGTATAGATCACCTTAAAATAGACTAAAAAAATTTTAGCTGCTTCAACAAAAAAACTCTTCACCTTCAAAATGTCTTCACAATTTTTTTCAAACTTAAGTAAAAATTATATTGGATTATTGGATGATGATGAATATTATGATGTTACTTTGGAAGTTAGTGAAGATCCTAATGTAAAAATATTCCGTACTCATATGAATATTTTGTGCTACCATTCTCCATATTTGCGTCGAGCTTTGGCTTCAAATAAAAAAGGTAATGAGAATATCTAGACTCATTTGAAATTGCCAAACATTTCACCGGAAATCTTTCAAATCATTTTAAAGTAAGTGATTATCGATACATAAAACTCACATTGTTTATGATGATTTGAATGAATATTAAATTTCGATATTCCCTTTTCGTAACATAGATATATTTATGGAGGCATTCTTTCATTTAATGAGCTAGATGTTTTGGAAATTCTAAAGTCTTAATAGCTGCTGGTAAATCATTTCTTCAAGAACTAGTAGATTACTTGCAAAAGTATTTAATATAAAATAAAACTGAATGGATTGAGAAACATTTTAATCTTATTCACCAAGAAAGCTTCAAATCTGATAACTTTTTAAAACTTTAACGATTTTGTACAGATATAATATCTATATCACCTGAAAAAGTATTTAAGTCACCAGACTTATCTTTAATTTCTGAAAAGTCTTTAATATCAATCATTAAAAGGGACGATTTACATATTAAAGAAATTGAAGTTTGGGATCATGTATTAATGTGTGGTGACTAGCACTAAATCCAACGCTTATACCAGATCCCGCAATTTGGACATATGTGTAGTATTCTATTAAAATTGAGGTACAGATCATATGATTTACCATGTCTCATAATCCACTTTTAATAGATCAGCTCCCATATGGTGATTTCAAGATAATAGAGAATTATCCAATTACACAAATTTATCTTACAAATATTTATAAGACAGGATTTGAAAATGAGATAAATATGATCTCGCTTTTAAACGGATGCAAAAGGCTGCAATAAATGAAAGCTTTTATGGATAACTTAATCTTGTGATTTATTATGATAATAGTATAGAAATATATCCCAATTTAGATAAAACATTTTTTTGTATCAAAAAGCGGCTTATAATGAAAATTTATGTAGATTATTTATTTTAAGTAGATGTAATGAGCTTAGAATAGTTATAGAAAAAAATGAAAATAAAGCACTTGAAATATATAAAAAATTTCATGAAAATGATTTCATAAATGGAAAATATAAGATCAGGATCTGTTATTATTTTGGAATTGGAACTGAAATTATTAAAATAAATATGTTAAGATTTAGCTGAAAAAAGGATTTGAGCTTTTCTTGGTTATTTATATAATTAGGGTGAAGGCACAAAAATGGATTAGAAAAGGCTTTTTATTGGCATAATAAAGCAGCAAAAAATGGATGGTAATATTGATGTAATGTATAATTTACACAATGTTATCAACATGAACAAGGCACAGAAAGGATTTAATAAAAGCATTTTATTAGTATAAAAAGCCGCAACAAATAATAATATAGTTGCAATGGTTTATTTATATCAGTAAATTTAATAGGACGTAATATTGCGTAAACTTACATTCTGTAATATTACGAAAACTTACGAGACTGCTGTAAGATTACGTAAATTGTATTTCGTAATATTCCATAACATTACAATATAGTACTACGTAATATTATGAAATGTAAACTATGCGAAAGTTTACGGCGTAGTACTTCGTAATATTACGGTATAATATTCTGTAAAACTTACGAAAATACAAGAATTTCGAAAGTTTACAGCGTAGTATTTCATAATATTATGGTGTAATATTCTGTAAAACTTACGAAAATACAAGAATTTCGAAAGTTTACGACGTAGTATTTCGTAATATTACGGTGTAATATTCTGTAAAACTTACGAAAATACAAGAATTTCGAAAGTTTACGGCGT